GAGCTGCAATCGCAATAAATTTTGTTTTACTAGTAACAACACATTTTTTTACCCTTTAATGTAAATATCTAATTGTCAATCAGTCAAATTTTCTTTAGAAACATATAAAAACATACTTCTTCAGACCCTACTTTTCGCGCGATGCCATTTTTCGAACTATCACCTTTACGATTTCGCAAATTCATTTCTCGGTACCGACTAGAATTGTCCTGAGGAATAATGACTGGTACGCGATCAGAAGGAATAGAGTCGGTTGATATCAAAGCAAGTGGGATCGACTCCAAAATCTGGAGAAAAATAAAATGAATATGAATGAATATCGCAGTTTAAAATTACTTCCTTAACTTATGAAATTTGGGAAGATCTAAACTGAGCTACCTGTTGTCCTTCGACGAATGTCGTTGTCGCTACATCTCGTGAAATGCGTGGCAATGTATGTAGTTCCAATTTATGCTATAAATATGTTAATATTATCATCGCCCAGTTTCAGGTCATAATATGTTGGTAATTATACTTTTAACCATTTCAGTCATCTTCAAACATGATGAAAAAGTTTTTATAGCTATGGCATATCACTCATTTCTGCTGAACAACTAGTTGTTATAAAATTTACTTCTGAGTTCGGCAGAGACATTGCATAATGTTTCGAGCGTTTGTTAACAACGTTGACCAAATTCGTTCGTTTCAGAATGCCTTTAGTGCGCTTTGTTGGCTGCGCATCGGTTTTTGTATCTGACGATGTTCCTGCTTCTCCTTTGTTTGGTTGCTGTGCTCCTTCGTTCTTGCTTTTTTCAATTTGAGCTTCTAAATCTCATTTCTTTTAAAATGAAATTATCAATGCAGCTACAAAACTTATTCAATTTTAAAATTTATCACTAAGTTTGCCATGGATAATGGATTATTAACGCTTCTAACTTCAGTTTTTAACGTAATATTCATTGTATAAATATTGCTCGACAATTTAAGTGCTTGATAAATCAGGAATGCTGTCAGTCTTTCAACAACACCACAAGTATTTTATATTATAAAAAAAAATTTCTGAATACGAAGTTTAAGGACTAATCTCTAGTTACATTTAATTGACTAAATTCTGAAAACTAAAAATTACTTTTTCTTTTGGTGGTAAAAAATATTTTATGAACCACTAATCTCACTGATTTATCGTTTTGTAATCCAAAATTACTGTTGTGTTAAATAGTGATTCAAAAAAAACCAGTGATAACGATTTTACCTTCCAGTATCCTTCGAGCGTATTCTAGTGTTATAGCTCTAAATGCCGACAAAGCAGATGCGTGTAAATTACGGCAATAAGCGCGTTTATGAGTTAAATAGTTGACAGGGCTGCGGAATATATTAGTGCAAGAGCTGGAAATTGAAACTTTATAACTTACTAACTGAGAAACTTATTCAAAATAGTGATAAAATAAATAAAAAGCTGAAATTCAGGAAAGCAGAAAATATCCTACAACAATTACAAAGAGAAAGGACTTACCGACATTCAAAAAGAATTAAACACTCATTGGCTAACAAATTTCGCACTTCAACGGTAGAATTACTGTATAACTCTACTAAACCATCAAGACCCATCGACCCTCCAATTAGTATCGGGGACTGCAGAACACCCAAATCGTCTACGTTTCGTGACATGGTTCTTATCACCAAATTTTGTTTTTAAACACAACTGAAAGAAAGAAATGGAAAAAAATTTCAATTCTGACAAAAACACCATAGTTGGGAAATCATTTTTTCAATGATTGATTTTCTTGGAAAATTTATGAACTGCTGAGCATTCACCAATAATAATTTTATTTTACTATTCTTACCTTGATGGTTAATTAGGTTCAAATGACTAGCACGCATTCAATTATGCAACTCAATGATGTTCATTTTCAAATTGAGTATGTTCCACAATCTCAATTGCAAAAAATTCAGTTAGAGATTTTGTAATTGCATAATGGGCATAGAAGAAACTAACCGTAGACAAGTCCTGCTGGGTCAAAGGTTGCCGTAATTTAGTTACTCACTTTCAGGAAATGACTGGGGTATCTGTATAAGGTTCAGTTATAGCAAATAGATGATAATGAACTGATATTATGTAACAAGTGCTTAAGAATTCACCAACTGAGCTCAAGTACAAAGATGTCTGCAACAACAAATATCATTAAGCACACAATGCATGGACATGCGCGATAAACTGGAATGACGCATGTGAACGCAATTAACTGAAAATAAACACTACACACTGTAGAAGGTGTAGCTGAAAGTCCAGTTCCAGTTCAAGTATAAAAAATGGTGAGGGGGATGAAGCAGTAGTTTAATAACATATGAAAACACTCATCTCCCAAGCAAGGATGATAAAGTGCCGAATTTAAATGATCTAAAAGTATTCTAACTCCAACCTAGGCGTAGAATTGCTGAGTCAAAGAATGTCCTCAATGCCAGCTCGTTCATTTCACCATTTAAGCCAAATCATACAATTCCCATCTCACAATGCACTAATCGTTTTGCAAATAACAACCAGACTGTTTGCATTTGTAAGCATTCAGAATGTAACGTAATTAAATCGACGAGACTAAGTTACTAGTCTTTATATTCTTAAAGCGACACCGACATTCGAAAAAAGCAATATGGAAAATATGTATGTCTACATATAGCCAAGACAAAGGCTGCATCTTTTCGCACATAATCAAGTGGAAGAATCTGAATACATCGCTATCGCCATCATACTTATTTTACAAATTGTGTTCTAGGCAACTAAGTCTGATCATACGAGAATAGCGTGAATAGCGTGATATAAAGGAAATGATCACATATATGTGGAGATATGATCAAGTACCACCTTCGTGTCCCTTTTATCGGAGAAAAATTGCAAAGAGAATACTTAATGACAGTTTTCGATTTGCTAAAGCTGACAACAGTATTGAACTACAAGTAAAATGAAATCTGCATACCATTCGAACTAAATTATATGAAGTGCAAAAACGAGTACTTCCCTTCACTACAGTATAGTTAGGAACGATATGCAATTTCGGCTTTATCACATTCAATTACGTGTGTCATAATTGCATGGTCATTCTAGTAAAGTTCTGAACAGATAACGATTGCTTACAGATTGAGCAGTGAAGAAACAAATGCGCAGAATTCCAATTGCTTAATTTGCAATGAGGTAGATGAACAGAATGAGTTGAATGCAAGCAGTAGCTGAACAGGAAAACAGTTTGGACTACCAGCAACTTGTGTGCCTTTCCAGAGAGATTATTCCTCAGCACTCCAAATGTTCCTCTCGTAGCTGAATGCAATAAAACTGCTTACTTGCAACAATGCTCGCTGGACAAGTTTGTTTTGTGCTTGCAAACAATCCATAGCAGACTTCTCATGCTGCTCACACTAATGAACAACTGTATGTATCACTTCAGAAGGGCAATCTTCGATACGTTGCAAAATGTGCTCGAGAAGAAGACTAACAGACGTCATTTTTGGCTTGGAAGTAATTAATAACTGCTAGTTAAAATATACAATCTCAAAGCAATACATGAAAAACTCTCACGACTAATCACTTCAACAAAAGTATATTGATTTCAAATTTCCAGCACATGCTGAGATGAGTACAGGTTGTATGCAAGCTTTACTTCATATTAACCTACCACTTCTCACGCGATTCTTTGCAGTGTGCTAGCAAAAAATGTCACTGTCCAATCACAACAAAAACGCCTGACATGATTTTGTGCTGCACTGAACAAAAAAATTTGAAACAACGCAATTATTGCGAGTCCCGAAGTGTATTAAAAGTCAATATATTTAAGCTCACTGTAATGATGACCATTGTTGGTATATCCTCAGAACGAAGGCTCGAGACACGGATTTGCAAAGAGATTGATTCCATCTGACTGCTGTATATTATATGAAAGCAGTGATGCAAGGGAAGATGTGAAGAAAAGAATGGTGTGGTCAAGTAGTTAGGTCACTACTCATTCGATTACTCACTCGCATGGGCCAATGTTATGTACCGAATATGGATGGAGTAGATTGATGACAATGATGAGTACGCAAAAGAACGCTTTCACTGTCAGCTCAGTTAACATCTTTATCAGTCTGAGATAGAACTTTAGTACAATATATAGCTAATACAATTCAAATACCATTTTATCACTCACAAAATGTTAAAAGTTTGCAAGCTTAATGAAATCAGATCAAATATAAATTATGCAAATTGTAATACAACACTACTACTCTACATTGATAATTACGATTCAAGAGATGGTGTCCACTGCGTTAAGAATAATCTTAAGAGTAAAGTATCAATCAACTAAACTACAGTCAATTACCAATGTAGAGTAGTAGTTGTATTACAGTTTGCATAATACAGTCAGGGTTAGTGTTGTGGGCCAACAAACAGATGTAAAAGTATAAGAAAATAAATGATTGATGGCAACATCAAGTACGGCAGAAGCTAGAAGAAAACTCTGTGACACATTTCATTCACAGTATGAAGCTAACATTGTGCATTACTTGACAGCGGGATATCGTTGATTTAAGAAGTGAGAATGAAGTGAATTCATAAAGTAATAAGGAAAGATTCAGATGCCGGTCGGCATAAACTGTATAACAAGCAATGGTCTAAAACACACACCACTCTGAACACAGTTCCTTCACGCTATCTATCAACCGACTGAAGTGTATGGAATATGTAACAATAATGTAAAGATGTCGATGAAAAGTAACATACGCATAAAGAGTAAGAAGCATTGACAACAGAATAAAGTTAAGCAAGTGATTGGTTGACCTGAGCAGACAAGTCGAAAACCACAACTCGACACTACTCATCTTTATTTCAACCATGAAGTATTATATGCAGTCCAGATAAAGAGAACGCCAAAGTGACCTTTTGTCCTTACTGTACAGGTTGACCTCTGACACTTCACAACACATACCATTCTACACAATACATATTATGCTAAAACTAATTGATAGGCAAAATGAAAATTACCTCGCACTAATCAGCGCTGCTCACTGCTTACGCATAAAATCTGCATAAAGTACGAGTTTCAGAAAATGAAAGCTGTTCATAGCTTTTTACTAATTATTAGCTTTAAAAATTATATCGCTGAATGCTTATTCTGTAAAACTACCACATATCTAATAAAGTAATGCGGTTATTTTTTAAGAAAAGCAAACTTCCCTCACAAACAAGCAAGAACTATTGCATTAAAAGCTTTGCAACAACGATCAAGGCTTCACCAACTGACCCAAACCCAACTTAAGTAATGAACGATTACTGCTTGTATTTATGGTCAAAGTAAAGTTCAGCTAAATCTCCGTATCTTGCACACTGGCTATCGATTCATTCACCATAATTCATACTACCAAGCACAGTTCTTAACAGACATAACAAAAGTTAACATACTATTCCTTACAGAAGAATACACGCACACATACAAGTACACGGACACTTACATAGGTACACTCAAACTACCTCTCACAGAAGAATACACGCACACATACAAGTACACGGATACTTACATAGGTACACTCAAACTACCCCTTACAGAAGAATACACGCACACATACAAGTACACGGATACTTACATAGATACACTCAAACTACCTCTCACAGAAGAATACACGCACACATACAAGTA